AAAAAATTAACAAAATGACTTAAATTTTTTATGTTAAAAAGAAAAGTAGAAGCGAAGCTTCTTCATCTCAGATCGATAGCAACCAAGAAAAGCCTAGCCTACTGCTAGTGTTATAACCAACTATTTAAAAACACATGAAACAAGTCCCAAACATAATATAAACTCAGTCTTGACTTAATGTCAAAGTAGTGTTGCTGGTAGGCAAGTTGACGAGCGGTTACACCAAAACTTACTGGAACGACGAAAATACTGAAAAACATTTTGTTACATTGTATTAAGACAAGTATTTTCCTTTGTGAGAGAGGGCTGGCTCTTCGAGCCAGTAACGAAATCGTTGGGTCCAAGGCCAATTACATTCCGTGCACAGGCCACTCTCTAAATTTAGTTGGTCAATCACCAGTAGATTGCTGTGTGGAAGCTGTGTCTTTCTTTCAGTTCCTGCAGCGCTTGTATTCATTTTTTCTTGGAATATTTTATTACGACACGTTGAGGAAAATCCTGAATGTCTTGTCCCAAAACACCCATCTGATACATGTACCAGGTGGTCTGCCCGGGCTGATGCGACAGAAACAGTCTTCAGGGGCTACAAACAATTCCAAAGTGCTCTACTAGAGATTGCAGAGGATATTGACCAGAATGGTCTCACGAAGCACGAAGCTGGCACACTTGCAAGTTATATGAACACTATTGAAGTTGCTTTCATGTGTGAACTTTGGAATGACATTTTACATCGTTTCAATTGCTGAAGTAAACTGCTACGTAGTTCAACTATTGCACCAAGCCCAGCCATTTGATTGTTAAAAAGTTTAGACACATAATATATAGGTGAGTGTCGAGGAAAGTTTGACTATTACTATGACAAGGCATGTGACCGATGTGGAAGCAGCATAAATAAATCAGACAGTCGGAGAGCACGTGTACACTGGAGAACAGTAGATGACGGAGATGCCGCAAGTGTGATGGATGAAATGTCGGGTCAGAAGAAATTCAAAGTGAATACATTCCTGTTTATCTTGGTCCAACTGAAAAGTGCCCTATGCAGGCTAATTGACACTTATTCAACAGTAGTGCAGCGGTTTGGTGTTCTAACAGAGTGTGATTCAATGTCAGCAGAAGACATCAATACTTTAATACCAGCACTTGTTAATGTCTATCCACATGACCTCTCTCCTAACTTTCCAATGAAATTTAGACAGTGCGGAT